CCACTGACAAAAAAAAGACAACAAATATTAACAAAGTTTTTGTTTTATTTTGGTTTGGGGTTGTGTGGGTTTTGGGGTTTTTTTTTGTTTTGTTTGGTAAGTACTAAGACTTGAACTCAGGGCCTCATGCACTTACTTGGCTTTTTCACTTATGGCAGGCATTCTACCACAGTGCCCAGACACAGTGCATTTGGTAACACTAATAGTAAGCTGAGCACGAGTGACTCAAGCCTGTAATAGTAGCTATTCAAGAGGCTGAACTCTGGATATTGCAGGTCAAAGCAGCCAGACAGAAAAGTCTATAAGACTCATATCCAATTAACCACCAAAAAAAAATTGAAATAGAATTGTAACTCAAGCGGTAGAGCACCAGCCTTGAGTAAAAATGCTAAGCAAAGCCGGGCGCTGGTGGCTCACACCTGTAATCCTAGCTACTCAGGAGGCTGAGATCTGAGGATCGCGCTGTAGCTCAAGTGGTAGAGCGCTCGCCTTGAGCTGAAGAGCTGAGAGACAGCGCCCAGGCCCAGAGTTCAAGCCCTATGACCGACAAAAAAAAAAAAAAAAAGCTAAGCAAAAGCACAAGGCCCTGAGTTCAAGATCCAGGACTAATACCAAAAAATTTTTTTTCAGCTATGTACAGAAAATTAGTATGTCTCAAAAGCAAACATTACAAAACAATAAGAATCATTTAAACTTCTTGTGCTTCATTCCCTTATGCACGTTCCTACACTCAGCCTGCATCAACCACAGTCTGCCCTTTTTTTTGGGGGGGGTCCGGTCATGGGGCCTGAACTCTGGGCCTGGGCGCTGTCCCTCAGCTCTTCAGCTCAAGGCTAGCGCTCTACCACTTGAGCCACAGCGCCACTTCGGCTTTCTTTTTTCATTTTGCTTATGTGGTGCTGAGGAATCGAACCCAGGGCCTCAGGCATGCAAGGCAAGCGCTCTACCACTGAGCCACCTTCCCAGCCCCAGTCTGCCCTTTCTCTATGTGGATGAGTCTTATATATAACTTCAGCCAGCATATTTATTCCAAATCTCAGAACTGACCACTCAAAGGCCAAGGGATAACTCTAACTGGATGTCCCACAGGTATGTCAAATTCAACCAACACTAAATTGCCCCAGTAAATCCCTCCTACTCTTCTATTTCCTCTTCTACCAGCAAGCCTCTTTCTCTCATAGTCCCATTAAAACCTAGGAGATTTCATGCAGCTTCACCCTTACCCTCTCCATGGGATACCTGTAAAGTCCTGGTGTTGGTTTTGTTCTCCTCCTTCCCCTTCCATTTCCCTGCTGGCCTGGCTTTACACGTTCCCGCCTTCTTTTTCACAAGAACAACTTCACAGCCTCCTGACTTAATTCGGAACTCCTTCACTTGGCTCATTCGCTGTCATAAGTAAATATTATCTACACGTAGCTAAGATAGGTGAGCACATTCCATGGGAGAAATACAAAGGCATCTAAGCATGTGCTGGCAATGAGAGTGAGTACAAATGGCTAAAGCCAAAGTCAAGACAAATAGCAAGATACAAATCCTGAGACAGAAACAAGCCAGATTTGTCAAGCTCTTCTGAGGTTGAAATCTTTCAAAGGTTCCTCACTACACCAGACTAAAATGATGAAGCAGGCCACACAGCTGGATCTGTGTGCCTTTCCAGTCTCCCCCCTCTTTTTCTCTCTCTTTCCACTCCTCCTCCCCTCATGCTAGTCCTGGGGCTTGAACTTGGGGCCTGGGGGCTGTCCCTGAGCTTCTTTTGCTCAAGGCTAGCACTGTACCATTTGAGCCACAGCGCTACTTACGGCTTTTTCTGTTTATGGTAGAGGACTCAAACTCAGGGCCTCATGCATACAAGGCAATCACTATACCACTAAGGCACATTCTTAGCCTCCTGTCTCATCAAGCCCTTTCCCCAGCCTTCCCAAATGACATTTTTCCCCAAATGCACCAAGTTACCATGTTACCTTTATTATTCTCTCTACTCCCAGGACCATAATCCTCTACCTTTCTCCATCTAGATTCAGCTCTTCGGAGTCTCTGTGTCTGGCAGTTTCTATTCAACAGGCACACAATAAGCTAAGACGCAGCCCCTTCCCTTCCCCTTGACTGCACTAAGACTGCACTGATTTGTTACACTATCTCCCACACTAGTCTTTGGGTAAAGGGCCAAAACCCCTTTGAAAACTAGATTTCTCACCACCAACTAGTCAGGGAGAAAAATAAGAAAACAGACCATATAACAATGTAAAAATGGGTGGAAAAAAAAAAGGGTGATAGCAGTATGCACAAAGTGATGTGGGAACCCAGACAAAAGTCATGTTACCCAAGCTGAAGATGTAGGGTAGTCAGAAAAAGTACTAGGTGACAATCAATGGTCAGGGATTCATCCCCACCCTCTCCAGCTGGTTCTCCTAGCCCTCTGCAATCATTTCGGCTACAGCCCTTTCTCATACCACCTGGATTACACTATATGGAGTAATCTACTCTGGTTAATAAAGGGCTCAGATAAGGATAAGTCACTGCTGCAGAAAATCTCATAGGTCTAGTTCATTATGCTAAGCATTTGGAAGCTGATGGGAATTTTAAAGAAAACAAGTGGCATGATCAGACTGCATTTTATAAATGGAATGATCTAAGCAGCAGAGTGAAGGCTGCATTGGTGGAGTCCAAGGTGGCCTATCAAGCATCTGCTGAGTCTTTGGGAAAAATATAACCAAGGACTGAGCCAACCTTTTGTCACTGAGGTCAGGAATAAAGATCTGTGACAGAACAGGATATATATATATATACATGAGGAGCCAAAAAGATAATCCCAGATTCCTAAAGAGGAATGCTTGCATATGTGCTTGAGGGCAAGGGGTAGGCTGAAGGGAGGGAACAGAATACCCATGGGTTCTCCAATGGAGAGATGAAAATGAGGACCTGGAGCTAAAAGGAAAAGGGGACTGTTTACATCTTTGAAACCACACACACAGGTACTATCTAAAACTATGAAATTAGAGAGAGAGCAAAATGAAATGCAAGTTAGTCTGACAAGAAAATCTTGAAGGAAACATACGGATAGTTTTTGTGTAGGATGGTGGAAGCCTGAGTATGCGTGCATTCTGAAAACACCAGGAGAAGCCCTTTTCATTGAGATAAAGACAGGTGGTCAAAAATCAAACAAGCACAGGCCCAGACAAAAATAACAGTTCGTCAAGAGTTCAGGGCTGACACCCACTAATTTCTTCTGAAGCAGGAGGTAAAATGGGCAGTAAAGAGAAGGGAGGAGTCAGGCTAGAGCAATAGAAATAACACCATAGGCTTTAGTACAAGAGAGGAAGTTGGGGGGTAGGTCAAAGAACCTCCAAGTAATGCAAGCAATGCTGGGATCCAGCTCAGTTCCGTTTTCTCAAGTCTGCCCCAGGAGTCCTGCAGAAAAACAGCTGATCAACTCAGACCTGAGACCAGCAAAGCAAATGTGGGAAGAAAGTACAAGACAAAGAACAATGCATTAATGCTTTTAAGATTCAAATTTTTTCTACTCTTAAAAAAAAAAAAACCTGAGAGCCAGAAGAGGGAGGGACAGGTGGGTAATTCTTTAACTCCTAGAAAACTCAGAACTTTCAGGGATAAGCAGATGTGTGCTTTCCTTCCAGCAGCAGATTCCAGAAATCCAAACCTAAGTCGTGTAGGGGCTCTTAGATAATAAACAGCTACTAGACGAACAGTGCAACACTCCTTACACACAACGCTGCAATAGATTCGAGATGTGGGGGATTTCTTTCTTTTCTAAAACAAAGATGCAAGGGGGGGGGGAGATGTAATTTTATCACGCTGGCCTTCTGACTAGCAGCCTAAAAATCTTTTACAAAAGCAATTAACATGATACAAAACGAAAGCAGAACTGAATTTCTCAACAAATGCCTAATTGTGATTTTAATCCCTATTAGGCTTTGAGCGCCTCCATCTCCCATGCAGGATCCAAAGTGCCTTTAGATACACGACTACAGCTCTACCCCATACCACAGACACCTAGAAAGGAGGAGGCTACCTGTATCAGCACCCTCCACCCCCTGCCAGGCCCACTGTGCACCAGATCCTGGGGCTGGACGCTGCAAGTGATTCAGGCAGACTGGCTGTGGCACCTGGGCAGAATGGGACAAGTCTGCCTGCAGGTTTAAGTGCACAGAAAAGGAGTTTGGCGGACGAAAGTGAGAAAAACCAGGGGGAGGCAAAAGCGGGAAGGCAGCGACGACACCCCAGGGGACATGAGGGAGATGTAACTGGACACAGAACAAGCACAGGCCCCCGTGGGCGTGCGCAAGCCGGGCCGAGTAGGGAAGGTGAGGCTGAAGCTAGGTGTCTGCAGGGCTGGGGCTCACCCCCAGAAGGGCTGTGGGGCTGCGAGGATTGGGTCTCATCCCCGAGGGCTGCGGGCTGTGAGGACTGGGTCTCATCCCCGAGGGCTGTGGGGCTTCGGGGACTGGGTCTCATCCCCGAGGACTGCGGGGCGGGATTGGATCCAGCACCTCAAAGTATAAGGGGAGCGGGAGGGAGATGGACCCGGCCCGTCGGGCCACACAGCCCAGGGCTCCCCGCCCAGGATGAAGGGACGATAGCCTGCTAGGGGACGCGGGACGGCAGGCACTGAGGGCCGGACGCACCGCTGGATGGGGCAGCCCAGCCGGGATCTGGGGGGAAGACGAGCGACGGGATAGGGCGGCGAGCGCCGAGATGGGGCAGCCCAGCCGGAACCCGGGGGGCGGCGAGCGACGGGATAGGGCGGCGAGAGCCGGGATGGAGCGGCCCAGCCCGGACCCGTGGGGCGGCGAGCGCCGGGAGGGAGCAGCCAAGCCGGGACCCAAAGGACGGCGAGCGCCGGGATGGGGCGGCCCAGCCCGGACCCGTGGGGAGGCGAGCGCCGGGATGGGGCAGCCCAGCCGGGACCCAGAGGGCGGCGAGCGCCAGGATGGGGTGGCCCAGCCCGGACGGAGCCACGGCGAGCACCGCTACTCCCTTACCTGGAATAAGTGAGGGCCAGCCGGGCCGCCGCGCCCGCATCCTGGGCTCGGCCGCTTCCCCGCCAACCTAGGAGAGGACCATGGCAGCCGCTCCGGGGCCTGCCCTCGCCGCCTAGCCCGGCTCGACCCCGCCGAGATGCGGAGATGCGCCGCCGCCACCAGCACCGCGGCCGCCTCAGCAGCGACTCCCGCGGTCGTCGCTTCAGCGCCGGCCGCCAGGCCCCGCCTCCGCGGTCGGGCGGGACTTCTCACGTAACGCCATTGGTTACGGTGAGCCTGAGGGATGAGTCTGTCTCCCTGATTGGTGGATTCCGGCTGGCTCCCACACGCGGAAGGAGGAGCTTGGGACTGCCCGCTGAGACGCGCGCAGAGGGCGGGGATCTGACGTCGCGCCCCCGCCGCAGCTGCGTACGCGCGCTCCCGGAGGGGCTCCCGGCGGTCACCTGCAGGGGCGGGTTGTTGCCGGGGCAACAGTTTGCGTGTCCCAAGACTACCAAAGACTCTCGGAGGGGGCAGTCGCTGAGGACCGTCCGGAAGGCCGACATTCCGGGACCGGGGTCGGGACCAGGAGACCCCCCTCTGCCGGCGCACTGCCTCACGTACCAAGGCATAGTCGTGCGTCGTGTGCGTGCAAGCAAGTATCACAGTGACACCCCTCCCCCCCAGACAATTCACCTGTGCTAATCAAAACCCCTCCCGCCCTACGTGTAAATCAGTGACAGCAGAGACCCAACGTAAGGGACTGACCCTGGACTGAAAGACGTGAAGAAAAGGGCAGAGCAATAGAGGAGATGGCTGAAATCTCAAGTTCCATAGGGCAGACGGCACCAAGAAATGCTGTAATTCTGTCAAGCATTTACCTCTACTCTGCTAGTATGATTGGAGAAAGCATGGGGGCAAGGATGCGACAGCTACATCCAAACTCCCTGCCCTGCCATCTTGCCACCTGTCTTGGGGCTAATAAGTGCCAACGAAAGAGTTTCACTCACACACACACACAAACTACACAGATGTTCATAGCATTCATAAAAGCCAAAAGATAAAACCAGATATATTCCTTCTTTCCTTTATTTGGATGTGTGTGCACTTGTGCCTGTGTGCTAGTCCTGAGGCTTGAACTCAGGGCCTGGGTGCTCCTGAGTTCTTTATCTGGCAAGCACTCTACCACATGAACCACAGCTCCACTTTCAGTTTTCTGGTGGTTAATTAGACATAAGTCTCAAGGACTTTCCTGCCTGGACTAGCTTTGAACCTTGATCCTCAGATCTCAGCCTCCTGAGTAGCGAGGATTACAGGCGTAAGCCATCGGTGACTGGCTGCATTTTTAATCTTTGAAGGGCAGAGAAAAGGACCCAAAAGACCCCTAAACTTTATTATTAGAATTACAGATGTGAGCTATTAGGGCCTAATACACTGGTTGTCTTTGAGATAAGGTCTTGCTTCCTGCCCAGACCTGTGCCTGGACCTCAATCCAGTCACTGAACCAAACTCTGGATTGAGGGGTCTTGGAAACTTTTCTACTCAAACTGGCCTCAATCCAAAATCCACCTGATTTCAGCCTCCCAAGTAGCTGGGGTTTTAGTTATGAGCCACCAGTGCCTGGCTGGTATGTAAATTATGTCTTCATAAAGCTGTAATTTAAAAAAATGATAGAGATAAGAAACTTTACTTATTTTTTGGTGGGTCATGGAGCTAGAACTCTGGGCCTGGGCGCTGTCCCACAGCTCTTCAGCTCAAGGCTAACGCTCTACCACTTGAGCCACAGTGCCACTTCCGGTTTTCTGAGTGATTTATTGGATATAAGAGACTCAAGGAAAGGCAGGTGCCAATAGCTCACTCCCGTAATCCTAGCTACTCGGGAGGCTGAGATCTGAGGATCACAGTTCAAAGCCAGCCGGGCAGAAAAGTCCGTGAGACTCCATCTCCAATAAACCACTAGAAAACCAGAAGTTGCCCTGTGGCTATACTGGTAGAGCACTCGTCTTTATCTGAAGAGTGCAGGGACACCGCCCAAGACCAGAGTTCAAGCTCCAGGACCCACAAAAAAAAAAGGTGGGGGGAGGGTCTCACTACTTTCTGCCCAGGCTTTGAACCAAGATCCTCAGATCTCAGCCTCCCAGTAGGTAGCGTTACAGGCAAGAGCCACCCTGGCCTGGCTTAGAGATAACAAACTTTAAAAGACCATATGCAGAGGGAAGGGATGGTAGGGGGAAAACAATGGAGGGGATAACAATGTTCAATAGGAAGTGTACTCAATACCTTGCTCATGTAACTGTAACCCTCTGTATAGTATCTTTACAATAAAAATTTAAAAAAAAAAGACCATATGCAGGCTTTAGCATAGATAACTTCTTTCTTAACTTAGTTAATTTAGTTAGCATAATCTTTTAAGTAATTTGACCTAAGGACATTTGAAGCCAAAATATTTTCCTTTGGAAAAGGTAAATCAAATGAACAAAATGATCTTATTTAACCCAAGCCGCATTGAGGCAACAGAAGTGGACCACTGAAATTACCAAGATCATCCAAAGAAAATGAGCAGCCGAGAAAATCAGCGAGGTCAGCAAGCAGAGAAGGGCAGAACAAAGAGAGAGCAGACAAGGAGGTGATTATAAATGGAGGACCATCCCCAGGGTCATTTTACAATCAAGAGTCACATCCCATTCCAAGTGCTACATTTCTGATTCCTTCAGAAAAGAGCTCACCATGACCTGAATGGGACAATCCGCAATCCCAGGACCAGCACACAGCCCCTAACAACCTCCTTCCACCAAGCAGAGAAGCAGAAATTAAACTCCCATGCTGCCCAGAATTTCCTTCATCTACCAATAGCACAAGAAGGACGAATTGAGCTGGAGAGACCACTGACACTTGTTAAATTGTAAGAACAAATTTCACATGTGGGACTTCCATAAGGACATAAGATATGCTCACTGCAGTGAAATCAGTCATGTGGCAAGATGTCTCATTAAACAAGAAAATTTCAGGTGATCCAAGTGGCACACAGTACCTGCAGCTGGCCCTGGCTATCCTGATCTGAAGCAAAGATTAAGGTCACCTGGAAACAAGCCAAATGCTTCTTGCTCTCCAACCTTCCCCCATTATAGTATATGTACCAGTAAGAAAAGACTCCAGGGCTGGGAAGGTGGCTCAGTGGTAGAGTACTTGCCTTGCGTGAATGAGGCTCTGGGTTTGATTCCCCAACACCACATAAGCAGAAAAATTCCTCAACACCACATAAGCAAAAGAAGTGGCACTGTGGCTCAAGTGGTAGAGAGCTAGCCTTGAGCTGCAGAGCTGAAGGAACAGCACCCAAGCCCAGAGTTCAAGCCCCACGACTGAAAAAAAACTTTATCCAAACATTAAATAGAATAATTACTAATATTCGGGTAATAAAGTCTCCTGTTGTTTCTCAGGTTTCTTTAACCATAGTGCAGCTTATTCAAACATGTCCTTTACATAAGTAACAGATAAACTGCTTCTGTGTTTTTCTACAGAGACCAGCATTCAATAAAACTTAACAGCAGGGCGCCGGCGGCTCATGCCTTGTAATCCTAGCTACTTAGGAGGCTGAGATCTGAGGATTGTGGTTTAAAGCCAGCCCAGGCAGAAAAGTCCCTCAGAGTCTTATCTACAATTAACCACCAGAAAACAAGAAGTGGTGCTGTGCCTCAAGCAGTAGAGTGCTCGCCTTGAGCTGAAGAGCTGAGGGACTGTGCCCAGACCCAGAGTTCAAGCCCCATGACCGACCAAAAAAAAGTCTTCACAATGTTTGATCTCACCTGTGAAACTCGTGTTTTTATCCTGAAAACAACAACCGACCAAAAAAAAAAAAGAAAGACTCCAAAATATACTCAAATGAAAAGAACAATGACAGCATATATAATATAATCATTTGTATCATCAAAAAGTGCACACAGGTAAATGCACTCACAAGCTTGTAAACTTCAGTGTATGGAAGGATGCACAGCAAACTGAGAAGATAGCTGAAGGACTTGAGTGCAGACTTATTTTTCACCATCTCCTCTTTAGTATCTTTAGAAATGTTGTGTCCTAGGCTTCACACTTGTTAGGGAAGCACTCTATCACTTGATTCACACACTTTTGCTTTGTTTACTTTTCAGATGTTTCACACTTTCGCCAGAGCCAGCCCCAGACAGATATCCTGACAGCTACACCTCCTGAAGTGTGACCATAGGCATGATCTATTCTGCGTACTCATAATTTGTCTTAGAAGATTTACTGTTCAAACCTATAGAAACTTCGTGACATTTCTATTCGTGTAATTTAATAAATGTCCTCTTTAATATACATTCTAACCATTCTTGTGTATATATTTTCCTTTCCACACCTTACCTCTTCCTGAAGTTCAGCCCAGGCTTCACCTGCACCAGGCATTACTCCTGTAATCCCACCACTCAGGAGGGTTAGAATTACAGGTCTAAAGCCAATTTGAGCTTCTATGTGTGACCCTGACTCAAAAAATCAAGGAGTAAGGATGCAGCTCAGTGGTAGAGTGTTTGTCCACTATGCTCAAGGTGGAAGAAAGGAAAGGAAAGGAAGAAAGAAAGAAAGACAGAAAGAAAGAAAGAAAGAAAAAGAAAGAAGGAAGGAAGGAAGAAAAAGAAAGGAAGGAAGGAAGGAAGGGCTGGAGGGAGGGAAGAAAGGAAGGAAAGAGAGACAGGGGTTGGAGGGGGCGGGGAATCTCCCCTAAGGGGGTGGGCAGCTTGTCTCCTCAAGGGCTTAGCGCTAATTTCCTCCAAAAAGCCTAGGCTGCCCACAATTACAAGAAGAGGGAGGAAATGATGGACAAGGACAAGGAAGAAATGAATGAATGGACAAGGAGAGGGAGGAAATGAATGAACAAGGACAGGTAGGAAATAAATGGACAAGGAGAGAGAGGAAATGGATGGAAAAGGAGGGAGAAAATGGATGGACAAGGAAAAGGAGGAAATGGATGGACAATAGGGAGGAAACAGACAAAGAGAAGGAGGAAATGGTTTGACAAGGAAAGAGAGGAAATGGATGAACACGTCCTGGCTAGCACAGTTAAGAGCCCAGACACCTCTTACCACCATAGCCAGCCACCCTACACCCCCTGTTCACCTCAGGGAAAACATGAGGGCAGGGATTTCCCATACTGTAAGAAACAGCATCTCTTAGG